GATATCCTATTCCAACTTACCTTATTGAAGTAGCCATAAGGATTTGCTTACTCTGTGAAAGTAGAATTGTTTTTTCAGCAAACAGTCAGATCTATTCTTAATATATCAATAGAGAGAGAGAGAGAGAGAGAGAGAGAGAGAGAGAGAGCTTGCAGTCAGTAAAGATCCAACTTGGATCACTGCAGAAGCAAAACCTCTGATGTGGTGTAAGATTTTGTCTGTTCCACACACACACACACACACTAAAGCTTATCCAATTGCATAAGCTTATGCACACACATAAAGATCAAATTGCCCAGTCTTACCCCACTTGTCTTGTTAGAAGAAAGAGAAGGCTTACCACCTCTTTCCCAATCTCTCCAAGGTCAGGGGGCAGATCAACATGCTGCAATGCATTGATGAACATTACTGCTCAGAGAATTCACTTAAGGGCAATGTGCACATTCCCTCACAGCAAAGTTGTTTCTTGTATGTGCTTTATCAATAGATTGGTGGATCCAACCATGATTCTTTGTCCCTAAAATCACACCAATTCCCTCTGAGCAGTGACTCCCCCAACCCTAAAGTCATCTTCATCAGAATCCTTTCCTTTTGCTCTTTTTCAGTCATGTCCAAGCCACTTCAAAAATTACTCTCAACTTTATCCTGTTCAGATGGTTTGATACAAGTAGCTTAACCCTTGTTGCATGTTACTACTCAATGAATTTTTTTTTCTCCATTTGCTTGTCATAATATCTTGAAGGTTCTCCTTCTAATGCTGATATGATACGATCAAATTTGATCATCAATTCGACTTGACAAAAAAAGATATCGTATCTCGTATCCGAGTTCTTGCAATCATGGTTTAATAATTTTTTTTTTCTTTAAATACTTTGTCGATACGATTAGTTCAGCATGTTATTTGTCATCTCTGGTATTTGACATAGCATATTTAGTATATATTGATTGAATTTTTTTACATTTCTGAGTTTGATTGACTGAAAATAATAGCTATATCACTTATTAGCGAATTCACTGAGAATGTCATTGCCTTACAAAAGAGTCACTTACTGTATCTCCATCATTAGTTTGGTGGATCCAACCATGGCTCCTTGTCCTTCTTAATCCGCTTCATCAGAGCCCCTCCCCTGGCCCTCATTCAGTCATGTCCAAGCCACTCCAAAACCTCTTTCAACTTCATCCTATTCAACCAGACCCCTTTTGATGTTTTGATGCAAACCTTTACTTAATTTGGTATGATGTTATGTGGGGTTAGGTTCACAGCTGCTCTCATCACCATTTGACCATGACAGCTCCTTCAATTATTATTCCATGTTTTGACCTAAAGGGTTCATAGGCACATATTCATTGCCAAAATGGATGTCTCTTTCAAAGTTGTGATGGTACATGTCATGACAATTGGTTAGGTTTCATCCTTATGATCTGTAGTTTTGTCAATGCCATTATTTCAGAATTCAATTAACTTAATAGAAGACTCCAATGCAGCCACTTTCTCTACCTTTTTTTTTTTCTGTAATTTGTTATAAAAAATAAATTTTGTCACAAACCTTTTTGTGTGTATGCCACAAGTTATATAGAAAAGGACTAAAAATAAGGAGTCTACTATCTAGGAAGGTATATTCATCCGAGAAGGTAAAGATAAGTCGAAAATAAAATTTCGATAGTCTTTGATGGATAATTATGTTTATCGAGAGATAATAGTGAAATAAAAAAAAGTACCAAAAAAATTCGACAACTTCTTTAGCATCCTAAAGAAACATAATATTTGAGAAAGGCTTATCTCCACAAATGAAATTCTAATAATTTGGACCAGGAATCAGATCAATTCAGCAATACAGCTTACTATTGGCTAAAAAGACACAACAGCCACTCAACTGAAACTGATATTTAAGCTTTGTTGTTTACTTGCTTGTTTGGATCAAAAGCATTGACAGTGACATGCACTTGAAGTTATTAGAATTCTTAAACATTGTCAACAATCACACATCTTTTGTGATGCTTAAGCTTGAATTATTGAAGCTTTTTTAACTTGATGTAGTCATATGTCTACACTGAAATCAAACAATGATCATGTTCTGCACATGGATTAAACTATGGATGGAAGAACACTATGTGCAATTCAAGAAGGTGGACCATGGAACCAGTGGTGCCCCCATGATTAAGATAACCATCAGAGCAGAACAGCTCCACAGAGATGATGACACAGCACCAGGACAAGTGGATAAATGCAACCATTAGGTATAAGAACTTTACAAGGGTGTTTACAACATGTTGATCCTACTTTTCTATGACTTTAAGACTTGACATGGAACCCCTGTTATCCTCTTGTCAAGAAACAAGAGAGAGATGGTGATCACTGCAACATTACATGAAGGTGACAGGCACTTTCAACTCAGCAAAATGGCACCAGACTTTTGCCACTGTCAACCTGCCTCAATCAACCTCTGCATTCCTTTTTCTTAGGTGCATAGCAAATCTAGAACTGGCACTGCCTCCGATCATCCTTTAATGCACAAAAGTTATTTTATATGGATTCTGTAATGAGTTGAATCACAAAAATCTTGAGAGATTTGCACTTGCTATCAGAACTTCAACAAAATTTATTGCCTTGGTTCTATTGTATCAAACTCCAAATGAGCTTAGTAAAGAAATGAGAAACAGTATTCTGTATCAAATCCATGGATTTCATCCACAATCAGAAATTTAAGACCTTAAAAATTAAAACAAAAAAATCATCATAATATTGTCTCAAACCAATCATTCTTGGAGGTTCAACATCACATAAAAAAACAAGACATAGATGGAAGTTTGCCTGCAGAACCTATATGGATAAGAAAAGAATTACTCTGAAGACGATGGAAATCGAATCGATGATCATTTCGTCTGGTGCACTTTGAACTGATCTTTATCCTTGGATCTTCTGGCGGTAATAGTCAGGCATGATTGTAGTGCTGACAAATTTGTCTATTTCATATATATCATATAAGTATCGCTCCAGTTCTATAACTTTTTGGCTTGGAAACAGGTATTAGTACATATCTCATTAGATCAGTTTATGAGAAGCTGCAAAAGGATTAAGATCATATGTGGTCAAAACAGCTTTTTTTTTTTTTTGTGACTAGTAATCATGCAAAATCAAGGCCAAAATTATCAGACTAAATGGATAACATGATTGATACCCACTACCTATAGGATAGATGTAGTTCCAGATATTTATACATTCTTTTGACAGATAATGCATTTGCAAAAATTATAAATTGCCAAAATTCAAGCAAATAAAAGGTGATCATTGTGACAAGCAATATTTCAAAACCAGTAGTAGCCCTGAAAGCAATTATTCCGAGAGGGATCAGAGGAGAGGCCTACTGGTCATCGACAGTAATGAATAGGAGCTACGAAGGAAGAACTGATTGATAGGCTTCATTTCAACAACAGATAATACATGATCGATATGAATCTTCCTAAGTTTTTGCTTGCTTAAATGCCAGGGGAAAGCTACACATGATAATTTAGCATTGCAAGTCAACCAAAGTTCATGCACGTCATTGTTTCTGACAGAGCTAGTCACGTTGACTGCGGCGAGGTTGACCTCATCTTCCTCCTTACTCCTGGTCATACTAAAGGAGTGCCGAAAGAGCAAAGAAAAAGTAGTGTAAAGAAAGATTCAAGGGGGCACAGATATTGTACATTCACCTGGTTGTGTCTATGAAGTTCTGATAACAACATATTACACAATTACTTGAGGGGAAAGCTGCAAGAACACTTACCTGCAGTATCATTGATCCAAGAACAATTGGATACTGCAAACTGCAGCATCAATGAGCAGGCAAGACACTGCTTCTCAGCAAAAATATTCTCCAAGTTGAGATGATGCTTGCAAGTGCTTGGTAATAATGATGATAGTTAATTTTCTATCAACCGAGCTCTGATCATGGAGAGTGGGTGTAAGAATACAGACAAATTTAGTGTCGTTCATGGCCACAAGGATATAGATGTGGTCAAATTGTAGTCCTGAAAAGATGAGATGCAGGGTGCTCGGTGCTCCTTTTGCATGATCAAGGGGATATGCCTGCAGAAAGCATCCAATTGTTGTAGTTTAGTATACGATGATGCAGTCAGCAATGTGGAATCATGCATTTAAAGAACAATCACCCAAGAAGGTTCGAACTGGAACATGTCATACTTGCTAGGGGGTCAACAGCATGTCATATTTCTCTGATAACAGTGATAAAGATATGTTATGTTTTGTTTGTGCTGCTTTCATTTCCTTCTCTTGGAAATTTTAGTTATCAAATGAATAATGAAATTGATCCAACTCGATTCAATTTTGGAGTTTTCATACATGAAAAAAGTAAAGAAATCTTTTAGTAGATGGGATTACAACTCGAGATAAGAATTTGTTTGTATTCTATTTCATGTAAAGATTGCGTTAGGATTGCATATGACAAAATCCTTCTAACAATCAAATTAATATATGTTAGTTTGTTGTAGGCATCAAAAGCTAATATGACATATCTATTAGACATTAATTGTACTTCATATGTTGAATCTCGATCGATAAAAAATAATGAACATATTATTAACCTCTCCTAGAAATCATCTCTGGACTTTTGTTCAGTGAATGCTCTTCAACTAATAAGGAACTAAATATTATTGTACCTTCAACCGTGATCTTTAGACTTGGTAATCTTCCTAATGCTGAATCTTGGTACAGGAACCATTCTCTCTGGTAGCTTCATTTTGTGGTTGAGTTCAATCCAGAGTCATTGCGACTTTATTTGCAAGATTGGTTCGAGGAGTCCTCAGTTGAGATGCAAATTTTCGTGGAATAGCTGAAGGTCCTGTCAAAGTACATTTATGTACAAAAGAATTTTATATTAGCAATGTGTTAGCTCCATATTTTGTAAGAAGATGAATGCATGAAAAGGCCAACAGGTCTTGTCTTGTTTCCACCTTCACTCACTGTGCCTAAGAACAAGGAGTAATTTAAGGCTGGTGGCTGTCATGGAGTCTCTCATCAGTATATAGCAGTTGTCTCCACCTCCATCGCTTCCACCAATCCAGCTCACATGATCATGGAAACGGAGTCTGCCAAGTGCGAGTGCTGCGGGCTGGAGGAGGACTGCACTGAGGAGTACATCAGCAGGGTGAAGGCCGACTTCGGTGGGAAGTGGCTGTGTGGGCTGTGTTCGGAGGCGGTGAGAGATGAGGCGGGGAAGGGGAATGGGAGGAGGAAGAAGGGTTATGGAGGATTGGAGGAGGCTGTGATGGCGCATGCGTCGTTCCGTAGGAGGCCTCACTCCAACCCAGCAATAGACGTAGTTGACGGGATGAGGCGGATGCTGTGGCGGCGGCGGAGGTCGGTGGACAAGCCATCGGCCTCGTCGCCTGGGAACCCGGTGAGCCCGTCGCAGGCGGCCGACGAAGCGACCAGAGTTGCAGTCCTCCGGTAGCCGACGGTCGAGGATTCTCTTCCCTGCGCGGAAGATGTAGTCTCACCGAAGCTTTAGGATTTTGGTTTCAAATGATATCGGCAATTTCTCTATCTTTTCCTTAAGATTAGTTTCTTTTCCGTAAATTAGTCTCGACTCGAACTGAATCATTTCATGAGCTCAACGCAAGCGAAAACAGAAAAGTAATTGTCTTACAAAAAAGTATCTACAAATTCTTCAGAGATATACGAAAGTTATTCTACAAAATGATTCTGTAATACTATTCTCATCAAACAGTAAATGCCAATGAAACAAGAAAATTGGATCCGAGGTATAATGTGTAATCATCCGATAAAAAGAGTAGTCGTTCATTTTCACGATTGGTAGAAAAGAACTCTTTGGCTAATCTTTTCTGGTTCAACATCATACAAGATATGAACAATTTGTCTTTACATTGCTACACATCAACAAGTCTCACAAAAGCAAAATTCATTAACCAGCGGAAACAGAACATATTTCCTTCAGCATCGAATCATCACACTTTTACACTAGGAAATATGGAAACGGATTCCAAGAAAGAACTGAAAAGTATGATCTTTTTTCCTCTGTATGTGATGTCAACATACCTCGGTCGTCTGTTTAAAATCAATGCTAACTAATACAGTAAGCAATGCAAGAAAGCACAAAGTTTGCATTGTAAATGATGTCACAGTTTAATAGTAAAAAGAGTACAGATACGATTACATTCCAACCAAGGGCGCTATTGAATAAAGTATCCGTTGTTTGGTGTTTCCCTCTACGGCTGGCCGGTTTCCGGCTAGGCAGACATGGGAACAGAGGAAAAAAAAGAAAGAAAAATAGACGGTAGTTCCATTTACAAAACACAAGGTTTTCGACTTGGCATTGCTATAAACATGATCCACTTTACAATGATTGCCAAAAAAATGGAAAAGAAGCTTTGGACTGGCTGCCGATTATGGCCAAATCCAACTCTTGAGGTTACGCAATATACTTATGCACAGTTCTTAAGAGCTCAAGGTGTCAGGTTTACAGATATCTCTTGTGCCACCGGAGGGCTGTGTGTTTCCTGGTATGAGGGGATGACAAGCCGCTGTAAGGACCTCAGAGCAGTTGTCAGTTGCGCAAATGAAGGGCGCAGGTTTGGGTCCCTGGCAAGAGAAACCGTTCAGACCAAGCTTGAAATTTATGTGGTTAAACTATATGGGACAGAAGGCTTAAATCCCTGGCAAGAAAAACCATTCAGTTTGCAGTGTTTCAAAGCAGCTAAGATAAATGGGACAGAATGGATTACAAAATCCATACCACAGCATTATGGAAACATCTTATAATAGGATCATATCAATCCACTCAAAGAAAAATAGTTCTAGGCTACCGGTAGTAATATAAAGATAAGCATTAAAATTAACGCATGGTTTCATGATCTTCAATAACATTAGTGGTCAACAAAATAAGGTTGGAATATGATTTTCAAGTTTGATGCTTACGTTTGGCAGCATTCCCAAATGATGCTTGCAACCAGGGGATCAACTTCTTTTGGAATGTCAAGTCGTCGTTCCTGAAACCCAACAGCACCAACCACTTGCATTGGGTTCATTCCACTCCATGGCATCCTCAACGTTGCAAGTTCCCATAGGATTACTCCAAAACTATAGACATCGCATCTACAAAATTCCACATTGATTACATGATTGAGGTGGATGGTTGGAGAACCAATACAAGAATCATTTCCTACAATATATCTGCTACACCAAAACTGACACAGAACTTGATTAAGTACCACATGGTTTATTTTATCATTTAAGTCAAAAGAACTACATGCATCAATTAGAATAGGCAAATTTTTTATATTAATTAAAGGTATAGAAAGCTTTATAAGAAACATTAAGTGATTTGATGGCTCTTAGTATGACTACTTTAATAGACCATCATGTATCCACTTAATACTTGGGATTTAGATTTAGGCTTATTCTGTAATTATACCAACATATTTTATAAAAGTTGTTAAACTTTATGTCTCCACCTTTGAATTACACTAGGAACAGATTACTCTGAAAATCTTCCATAAGAAGAAAAGGAATATTCTCCATTCCCATATTTGCTGTAAGGGTTAAAGAACTACCACCTGAAAGAATGATCACCAATAGTCCACCATGGTAAGACTGTAGCATATACTCCCAACAGCCTGCAGGCACCCACACCACCTATTTAAAGTTCAAAAGCTTCACACATACAGTGATGATCCATCAAGATGTTCAATCACCTACCATGACATTGCAACAATGTCACACTCAGGAACTGCAATTTTGGGTATTAGTCCATGGCCGAACCGAGATGAATCCTTATGCCAAAACGTACCACACCAATGTGCCAGAAAGGAGGAAGAAGGGGAGGAGACGAAGGAAGAAGAGGAGGCAAAGGAAGAGAAGTACTTGAAAAGAGGCAACAAGCACATGGCAAGTGGATGAGCAGTAGATAGCGGTGGTGGGGATGGCGATGGAATCATGGAGGAGGAGAGGGCTCGCGGGCTCATGAATAGAGGGCTTACATTCACGAGCCCTAAAGTATTAAGGGTTTATTAAGATTAAACAAAAAAAAATAGACTTTTTAATCTAATCGAACTGGATTGCTCGAAATTGGTTGTCGATGTACCAACCAAATGAAAATTTCATGGTTATGCAAGAATTTGTAAATGAAAAAATATATATATGTACCAACCGATATAGACATGGAATGATACACAGAGCCAACCAATTTCAAATGGTCCAATCGATCTCTATGTCTCTCTCTCTGAGATCTACTTACCCTCAAGCTATGATTCCATGAATCATAATGGTAGTTTGATTGGAATATGTCCAAAATCTAATAAGAAGATGGATTACAACTTTGCTTGATCCCACACTTGTCATGGGATACATATATGTTGCTTTGTCATTGATTTAAGCTACTTTTGACAAAGCCTTGATACCACTTCCTTGGCAGATCTTGCATCTTGACCCAAGAGAATAGGTACTTTAGGTCAGGCTACAAACTAATTGTGTCCACATAATCATACTTGCCAAGAATTAAGAACGGGATCGTATGGGCAAAATTTAATTTCATCTCTTCTTTAGACCAGTGCAGATGGAATTGATCTATATGCATTTGCAATGCACTGGTTATTCAAGAGCAAATGATGAACTGGTTATTCAAAAGCAAAAGATCACTGAGTTGTGGCTCAAGATATGGGAAAGTAATTTTTATTACGTAATGCTTCTTGCAGAATCTGTGATAAAGGTACCAACTAAAGCTGCAGCATGTATTAATTTGACAATATTAGACAAGGAAACTTACTTTTCATTGGAATTTTCATTGCGCAACACCTCTGGTGCCATCCACTCAGGCTATCAGATCAAAACAACAAAAAAGTAAGGAAACAGAGGTAATAATAGTAATTAATAACGAATTGTTAAGTAAAAGAGCATCTACAAGTGCCTCCTTAGTTACTTTTGCCTCTTATCATGATATCCAACTGCTGTCAATCACAGGTATATCTCATTTGTTTCACAGAGAAATGCAGCACGTGGTGAACTGTGTCCTTCGCTCATGCATATTTATCTTATGACATTCTACTGTTGGAGATTGTTTGGATATGATAATTCAAATATTAGTTTTAAAAGTCATAAGCAAAGCAACAAAGATAAAAGTTTCTTACAGTTCCAGCTGTGGATTTCGATGATAGAAATGTACTATGCTTCAATCGTGACAGCCCAAAATCACAAACCTGAAATTTTGAGATTCAAATGCTGTTATTCCATGTCATGTGGCTGAACTAATTTCTACAAGCAACATATTTTTCACATGAGAAAGATACTCATTTAGCTATGGTATTTAAAGCCCCATCTGTGGTTTAAAGGTTCTTATTTATCTAATTTATTTAGAATTCTGTCTAGGATTTTGATGATATCTAAGCTTGCATTAAGGTGGACAAAGTTAATAACAAGATTTAAGGTGGACTAAGTTATGACAATAAATAATCTGCCAATGAAGATAACAAATGCAACAAGCAATATTTCAGAATAAAAACATGGAAGAGTAAACATAACCACCACAGTTTGTGATGACCAAGTTGCTCATGAATATTTGTCGACAAAGAACATGAACAGAGCAACAGTTTTAGTTTTTTGAACCCATTCATTTGGTGATACACTTGAGCCATTTAAATTAGTGAAAATTAGCCACCATAATTTTGTAGATAATTACAAATGAGAATATGGTTATAAGACTATTGCATACCTTAACAGTCCAATTCTTGTCGACCAATAAATTAGGCGATTTAAGATCCCGGTGGACAATGGTAGGTACACTGGTGTGCAAGCAATTCATTCCCCTAGCCTAAGGGGCAAAAATCATTAAAAGAACTACAGAATTTATGCAAACAAGACAATTGAAATGCAAATATTCAGCAGTTGTACCACATCAAGGGCCATTTTTATCCTTCGTTTCTCGTCAATTTGACAATTAGGACGATGAAGAATCCTGTACAAGCTGCCTCTGAAATTTCAATTTCAAAAGAGTCATATTATTGTTTAAACAAAAAAATCAAGGAAAACATATGCAAGAGTAAATCTCAACTAAAGCTGATAAAGATATGTTTTAAAGAAAATGAACTTCCAGCACCGAATTTGCTTTACCTGAAAAGAAATAATCTTAAAACTAACTAGAAGAAATATTAGCTGCACTGAGAATATGTAGCATTAAAAGAAACAAGCATATACAATTTCAAAACAATTCATTTGTCAAGAAAATTGCTTCATCCAAACTCTCCTAACTGTCCTCATCTTTTCTAGCTTGGTGTTCACTCAATGAAACAGAGATGTCTCTACAAGAGTTTAGCAAGACATTTTGAGATATTGATTTGTTTGATGCAAAGAATAAGAACATCTGAAATAATCAAAAAGGAAAATTTCACCAGAACAAGTTGCATATGACAATATTTAAGAATAGATCTAAGAAATAGTCAAAACAACAATTCTAAGCAGGATTTTGAGTTTTTGAGAATTTTGGCCAACTTTGACCCATCAGTAAAACAACTTGGCCACATTAAAAAATCTTAGTTAGCTAGAATGCCAGTTTGAGTTTGTATTTCACAGATATAGTTGAGGGCATACATGTGCCAAGAAAAACTTAAACCATGGTGTGCCAAAATAAAATCACCAAACAATATGAAATAGTTGTGTTCGTGCCTAGCATAGCACCACATCTACATCACAAAGATTTTTCAACCCTCGCCGAGAAGATTTCAATCACTGAACCTATAAGCAAATAAATGAACAAAAGCACATGATAAAAAAGAGCATAGTTACTGGAGTCCTAAATAAATTGTGAAAATATTAAGTTGCCTATGGAGATCAAGCACACTAGTGTAGGATTAACATGAGTAAATAAGCGATAATAAAACCAACTGAACAACGCAAAAACAAAGGACAATTGCATCAAGTGCAAGGTGGCAAACTTAGCAACCAATTGAAATGACAAGCATTTTAGCAATTAAATTTGAAGACTAAGTATAACATAAATAGGAATTATATAATTGATCAGCAGAAGTAAAAAACACAGTATGATCACCACATGTCTTGTAAAATGCTTTCATTCAACATATGTAGAAAAGGAACATGTATAGTTCTACTATGCATCGCAGTCCACTTGCTTAAGATAAGCAAAGTGAACCAAATTGATCTTATATAACATCTAAAACAAAACAAGGTCATTCCAATTGGAGGGATCATCATAACATTCACGCTACAGGCCAGATGTGTAACATTCACTTAATGAGCATTTCTCATTAAGAAAATAAAAAAAGAGATCAAACATTAAATGGATATCAGTTGTAAATTTCAATGACCAATCAAAACAATTTAGCCATATAAAGTTAAATTATTCAATACAAGTTCCTGTCCTGCACATAAAAAAGAAAGAACCTATGTATTACCTTGGAAGAAACTCTGAAACAATAGACAGGTTAGGAGGACGAGTTACAGCACCCATGAAAAGGACAACGTTTGGATGACGCAACCTGCGCATTATCCGAACCTAGACAACAAATTAGTAAAGTTACCCATTTCCATTTTAGGTTCAAAATTCAGCAAGCAAGCATGAGAAACAATGAGTTTCAGAATTCTTTTTCACATACTTCACTTCGGAATTCATCCAAAGCATCCCCATAAAAGTCCTGGTCTAGGAACTTCTTCACAGCTACTTCCTGTATTAAAAACCAACCACATGCATGTTATTTAATACACCAAACTCAATAATCTAAGCAACATTTGCTTGTTTCTGTGCTTGGAGTATACACAACTAAACACAATAACAAATAAATGTCAACTGACACATTTATAAGCATGACTTAAGCCATAGTGTTCACATCCCTATTAAAAATCTCAACTAACTGTTCGCAAATGATAGACTGCTAAAAGGTACCAGTCTTTTCAAAACTTCTCTCTATCCCTATCTCACAAAAGCCTTATTTACCAACTAAACTAAATCTGACCATAACCCATATTGAATGCTTCCTATTTGAAGGAAAAGAGAACATGCTTTCACTAGTGAGTCTTCCCTGCCTGGGGTGTGAATGGGTTCCAGAAAAAAAATCTCTATCATATGTCCATTTTTTAGCAGGTTGCAGTGAAGCAACTCATCAATGTCCTAATTGTTCATCATAGCTCCAGCCCATCTCCTTCTTCCTCTCCCTCTTCCCCTTCCCCCTCCTTGTCTCCACTGAAACCTGACTCCCTCAGACTCCCAAAACTCCTGAATCTACTACAAAGAGACAACCAGGCTACTGGGCAGGTCTGTTTCGTCAGGCTCATGAATTAACTTCTTGAAAACTTAATGCAGCTTTGGAGGAGAAGATCCGCCTTATACAGGTTAATTCTCATCTTGCACATGAGTTGGATATTGATGAAGTTCGTGGTGCCAGAGAAGTTTGGATGCTTAGCCTTTATGATAATTTTTTTTTTGTAGAACACCTTATGCAGTGTTTGATTAGGCCCAGTTTTTGCCAATACTAAGAAAAATTCTTCAAAAGCCCAGATTAACAATAGCAAAATTGATAAAAATAACAAAAATAAAGTAAAACAAACTGATTAACACAATGAAAGTTCCCATCTTTCCAAACAAAATTTGATATGATTGGTTTTTAGACTTCACTCGAAATTTTTTATCTGCTTTAAGCACAGGCTATTTGTGAAAATTAGTACTGTTGTGCCACAAAAAACAACTCACCGTTCCATTCCAATCTGCACGATATACTTCTCCGTATGAACCTATTCATGAGGGAGGAAAAAATCAAAAGTTACAAGTCATCAATTCTTAAAACATGAACTACGGAGAAAAGCTTTTACCAAAAGCTAAATTAGTAAGAAAACAAAATGTACATTGCTAAACCAACTGGAAAAGAGAGCCCACAAATGTTCTGTAGAAGCTTTCCATTTAAAAACTATGCATGAGTTTTTTTGAGAACAGAATAAGTTCAAATTTTTGCAAAAGGTTCAAGAAGTACCTAATCCAATCCTCTCTCCAATTACTAGGTCTTCCCATGGGATTTCGCATTCAGCCACATCATCTAGCATTGGATCAAACTGACTTGGCCTGGCTTGTGAACTTGAAGATCCTTGCTCAATTGAGCTTATACTTGTTTCCATATATCTATCACGAGAGCAATTTTTTGGATCATGTTTCTCCTTAAGATGTTTCCCATGTCCCTTCAGTTCATGTGACTGGCGGTTTTTCAAAACTAGTTGACACGCATGGTCATCTATTAGATATTTTTCGGAGACAAGTGAATGATCTTTTTGAACATCAAGACGGTGTCTGTGTACTTCATGATTAAGGTTCTTCCCTGAAGCGATACCTGATTTAATATAGTCCGAGGAAGAATGGCCCATATTTAGAGAAGCATCACTAGTTTGATTTTCAGAAGAAACTGCCCCGCTAGAGTTTGAAATAACAGAAGAACCAGAAATTAAACCTCCAGAATATACTTTTGCAGCTAAGTTGGGCATTTTTGGAGATGGTGACTTCAGTACAAAATTCCTCTGCGGAATTGACTCCTCCACAAAATTATTATGCTTCGTATTAGGAACTTCATTGCATGCAGAACGTCCTTTCCAAACCAATGGAACTTGGGACCTTCCAGGACCCAGAGCAACTTTTTCCCTGCACCTTTGATATCCACTATTTGTAATGTCGGTAGTTTTGAAATGTGGAGCACCTTTGTCAACTCCAATTACCTGGAAAGGATTCAGCTCAGCAAAAAGATTTGTTGAGCCTACAGAATCTTGTGGATTAAATGCTGTATTGACCTTTCCTTTTCCCATATTATCACCATCTGTTTCAGCAACAACAATCGCTTTTTGCTTTGAGCAAGTTGCACTGGTAGAAGATGTAAACTGATCAGCTTGGTCTTGCATACACAAACTCGTATTTCCCATAGAAGTACATCCACTAGTTGTAGATGATTCTCCATTATGATCACTTCGAACTGAAGGAATCACAATTGATTTTTCATATCTTAATCTTTTATCATGCACCTTATTCATATCCAAGAGTGGAATTTCATTTCCATTGTTATGCACCTCACGTAATCGCTCAACTTTGAAAAGGTCATCCTCTGGTTTGCTTGTCGAAGGGCTCACAGTCCTACTTGCTTTTGGCTTGTAAGAAGTGTCCTTTAAACTAAGTACATCTGCTGGAATTAAAGTGCCCGGAGCAGCCATAAGATCAACCAAGAATTCCCTAATAAAGAAGATTAGCATTACAATTAGCACTGTAACACATCTATAAGTTAATGACTGAAATGGCAATTTTAATAGAAAATATATATAGACTACATGTAGCAGCTATATTTCCAGTCAATTCATTTAAGATTACCAGAATAAATCTAAGAAAGCAAAATAGTACCATTTAGATCCCTAATACATCAAGGCATGAAATGCCAAGGTGGAAAATATCCATGCCGCAATGTGGTGGCTGTAGTTTACGACATACAGGCCTGTTTGGCCAATTATTTATAAAAATGGAAACAAGTAAAAGATTTTCTTATGATCAAGGACCAAAACTGCATCATCAGCAAAGTTTTTACAAAATGAAACCAAATAATATTATCATGTAGAAATTTTCAAACTGCAGCTTAAGTTTAAACTAGAACCAAGAAAAGGACTTCTTCCAGACCCAAGAGAATTCAGCTCTACTCTTATGTCCCTTAGTTATTGCCTCTGTTTATGAGTATATATGAAGTGTCTAGAAATGCATGGTCTGCTCCCATAGCTTCAAGACAAAAGATATGATTGTGAATGTAAACAACAATGCTAGCAATATAAACATGGGTATGAGTCTATAAGAAACAGGCACGAGCAGTGAAAAAGTTCAAGAAAAGTTTGCATGGGCCAAACAGAAAATCAAGTCAAAATTTAGATACTGTAAGCGAAAGGTTATACTTCTCAATAGCTTCATTCTTAAAGTAAATACCAATCTAGTTTTTCAAGTACAAAGATTATAGAAGTTATAGGCAATATATGCCTCCACCTTGTTACTTAATGAATAGAAAGATCAATAAATGTAAGTAATATAAACCTTGCATCAAACTTTATTATGTTGACAGCATCGTCATCCACACCAGTGTAGTGACTCCCTTTAACCAGCCTGCAAGGAATGCCAACATTATCTGCAAGAACCTGCATTGTGATGTTGTGGTAACCAGATAGGATTGAGGATCAATAAGGCAATAAGTCTTACCAATATATCCTAAAGCCAAAACGGGACTTTCTTTTTAGACACCATCCCATATGATTATTGAAAATATATATATATAAATAGAGCGCCACTGACCACATCAGGAAAAAGTTCCCTTACTGACAAGTTCATCGAACAATAGTTTTTATACTCTAGTGCTACAATAATGCCTATCTAACAAAACTTAGCTCATTTTTTTTCTTGAAAATTGAAGGCATGACACACACCTTTTCTTCACAAGGTGATGCATCCATACAACTCTAGGAACCCAGCAAAAACAATCATCCATCAAGGAACCTTAAGATAACTTTCTCCTGAACTAAATTCCAGTTGCATGCTTACATGCTACAATGATTTTGGCATGCAATGGTATTTCTATCCAGTTCCAGAAACTCTTTTTAAGCTTACAAGTTACATGTCAATGTGCAGAAATCCACTAAGGTTATACCTTTGTTGGTAATTATGAAATTGTACCCATCTATAATACTGCCACAATAACATCAACTCCTTCAAAGGCCTTCGCCAATACAAAGCAATAATTTTTATGTGATGTATACTGGGTTCCAGAATGCACATTCATCCCAGAAGCAGCTATAAAGTAACTCATGACAGGGAAAAACAATACCACCAAGAGTTGCCAAAAGCGAAGAACAGATAAACTAACCTTAAACAGTAGAGCCCGATGCCGAGACAACCCTACTCTTATGCAACCAATTGGTAACAAACTTGTCTGTTGTGTGGTTCGTAAGTCGGTGCTTTTCTCCATCCATTTTGTTAGCATGTCGTTTGCATCCCTCACAGGACCGCCCATATGCTCCATAACCAATTCAGATATTCTTTGCACCAACAGCCCCATTTCAGCAGTAGGGCAGCCTAAACAAATGCATTGTGCGACTTGCTCCAACTCTACTAATGCAGGGTCAATTGGACGGTTGACTACAATAACCTCAAAACCTAAATCCCCAATGCTAGTTTGGAGTTCGATTAGTGATGGCATCCTTCCGTGATTTGCAGCATTGCCTGAGAGCCCATAAATGTCATAGAACCCATCCACAACTTTCTCATCATAGTCAAGCACGTTATAGTCCTGGATACGGCACACAGTCAATATCTCCAAAAGTGAACCAATGGAGGAAAAGAATAAAAAGGAATCCTAGAAGCCACGATGTCCCCTTCCCCCTTTCCATAAGGGAAGATACCACCGTTAGTTATATAGATTTAAGAACAAGACAACAAACGAAGATGGGCAGACGAATATGATGACATCGAAGAATTTGGAGTTTGCCCTTTACTAAAAATAGGATGATAAACCCTAATGTCTTTTAAGAACCAGAGTCCAAGTTCCATCCTCAATCTCCCAGCTCTCACTAGCTTAGGAGAAATCCTTGGTTGATGAACCACAAAAGTCAACCCTAATTCGAGATAATAAACTAAGGTTCGACCCCAAATCCAAAATCAAAATCAAAAGACAAGAACTCACCCAGTACCTCCGCGACAGCGACTCCGCCGTTCCCTCCTCCCGATCCTGGTCGATCCGGTCCCTCCCCAGGCTCAACAGCTTCGCGGCGCGGATCTGATCGCCATCTAGATCGCCCGTGAACTCCGTATTCGAAGCACTGATCGCAAGCGCCAGCTGCACCTGGAACTCCTCCTCGGACGAGAAGTAGTCCTGCCGGTCGTCCCCGGCGGCGGCCGACCGAGGGGGCTCGGCCGGGGACGGTGGCGCGGGCGCCGCCGTGGCACGGTGGTCGGAGGCACAGGAGGGGGAGACGGCCGAGGCAGGGGGCGCCGATGTCGCCCCCGCACCGCCGGCGGGGGATGGGGAGGGGATCTCGTTGGATCGGTGAGGGTGCCGCTTGATCTTAAATATGTGCTTCATCGGGCTTTCTCTTCGCTCCCTTGGGGACGACGACAGGGCTTCGGAGACTGAGCACTTCCTCGCGTAATTATAGACCCAGACAAGTGTGCACATTAATTAAAGCGGCTCGGGTTTGGGCGTTAATTACAAGGACTACCACTATCATCCACATAATTTCGCACGTGCGGGATTACTTGCAGTGATCATTTCGCTTTCTGCCTCCTCAGCGAACGGCAATTGTTGATGCCACCTCATTGAGTGACATCATCTAGTTGGAGATATCAGCCTCAGCCGAGCGCACTTAAACAGCACGCAGGTAAACGCCAATGCCCATTGGCCACGAAGGTGGGACCCACACTAAACGTACCAATGGCTGAACGAGGTACTGTGGATCGTCTGTCGAGGTCATGGGCTCCAGGTGTCAGATCGGTGGGGGACGCGAGCAGCGTGGAATCTATTCGGGGGTTGATTCAGCCAGTCAAAGTAGCTTTGGGGTCTCCTCCGCATCCAATTAGAATGGAGATAAGGGTAGCTAATTAATTAGATTGGATTATGTGGTTCGGGTCCGGGTGTTAGTTGGGACGCACTTATCCGGGGGTTCGTCGAGACCGCGTGGTTGGATGAGTTTAACGTGGTGAGAAGGACACGCGTCAGTGCGCGATTGCTTGCGTGGCGTGTCGGGTGGGCGGTAATATCTTTGTGTTGTTGGACGTGGATAATAGCAGGAAGGGGTTCTCAACACCGCGCGTCATAATATGTTTCCAAGTGTTCGCGTCTTTTGCGACAACAAATAACATCATCTAAAGGCCAAATTGACACCACAGAGGGGTAATCCGAGTTTAGAGGACGGTAGTGCTCCAAACACGGGTTCATGCAATACCATTGATCCATATTAATTGCAAATCCTACCGTATAACCAGTGAAAGACTTGGTGTTTGTGGGTAGAATAGTCCCACATCGACTGATTGCCGGTGATTTCGCTTTCGCTAGTGGTTCATATGAGGGGCTTCGGAGCGTATGAGATCACGCAGCTGCGTGGCGAGCACAGAGCGAACTATTCTTTCGCCTTTTACTAAAGAATACCGTGTGCCCGCCACTTATAGCAGCATACGCTAATTTTTGTAGGGTTTCCTTATCTGAAGAGGGGACCCACCAAATCTAATAAAGATATCTTTTACATCCAAGAAGTAAAAGATAAAATGTATGATTAAAAGTTCATTCATTTTAGGTTCTTGGATAAAATGTATAATAGTGTAGGTATCATTATAGTTCTCAACATAAATTGTTCTACTAATAAAAAATGATATCGGTCAACTGTTACTCTGTTGACCATTGGCATGTTCTCTCAAACTTTCAGGTGGCATGATCACTACCACCTCTAGCAGCAGCTTGTTGCCAATTCCTTGCAATTGGCAAAGCTCTTAATTTCACTTCATGACTATGACAATTACTATACCAATAGGATGATTTCTTTCATCGGATCAACAACTACTAGAACCATAGAGGGTGAAATATATTATGTGTTTATATTACATATATTTCATTTAGTCCTACGGATGTTGATTTTTCAAACACACTTGTATTATACCAAAAACGATACTTTGGATAAGAAGATTAACAAATACAAACTTCTGTACATGTGCTATTACGCAATTACTAATAATGCATAACAACTACAAAGTGTAAAAACTCCATATAGGAAGCTAATTGTCATCAGCAATGTCAAATTGCATAAGGAGCTACCTCGAGAATGCTGGCCCATCTTTGATCTCTAAACTCCTCATAGCAAATTTAAAAGTAGAGTCAATCACTATTCGACATAATGGTACCTATAAAATCGATAACACCACTAAAAAGAGAAACATATATATACGTCGACAAATTTCACAGATACACTATTGCAACTATTACAAATCACTCAATCCACCTTCACACCACCGGTACCTAATGTCTGCATATATTTCCGAAATGATCTTTTGTTGGGAAGAAACCGGAATAATTTTTTTTCTCTCTTCTCTTTGTGTATCAAAATAGGTTCCTCATCAAAATACCAACTTGATATCAAAATGTTAATATCAATCAGCACAGCATAAACAATAGAGCAATAAATCAATCACACAGTGAGACCAAATATTTTTAACGTGGAAAATCCAATGTGGGAAAAACCACGGGACCGTAGTCCACCTAAAACTTCCACTATCAATAATAATGATAACAGGTTTACAGTAGGTCTTCTCTAGAATAATTAGAGGATCAGAATAACATCAAGAACATAGATCTTGGCTCAAGAATAGCATATCTTCAGCACATAGGTGGATCTCCTCCAAAGAGAATTCTAGGTCTCACAAAGTGGATATCGCAGGAAAGTACCTTTGAGAGGGTAAACTGCAGATCAACACTGTTAGGATTGTAGAGTTTGCTGCAATGATTCTCCACATAAAATTTGGGTCGAAACTGACAACGTTTGGCCACCGATCGTCAAGTAAAAAAACTTAGAAACTTTAGGATGATCATCATCATTGGAAAGATCGGGGCGATTGGATAAATCACAAGCCTATTCCCTGTTCTGGATGAGAAGAGGAGTATCATGAGTCAACGCGACGACTCACCTTCCTGATCCCAAAAGAAGGTCCGGCATCCTCTTCCTTTTCTTAAGCTAGACCGAATCAGGATGGGGCGAACATAAGAACCAAGTGAAGTTCCCTCATAAAACTTTCTTCAGTTTCTACTCACTTTAACGCCTCACCTCATTACTTGCAACTCTTTCTCAAAGTGGAAACTTATTATGACTCGAGCCTGATGAGCTAACTAGCCTATCAATTTCTCATCAGGCCCTTATAAGTCAATCTAAATCTTGTCCACTTTCGATGTGGGACTAATCAGGGGTGTTACAAAACTTGTTCTGTAACTTTGTGTCTTTAAATGTGGATACAAGTCAAGAAACATTAGGTTTCTTCACAAAAGAACACACCCGCACTCTCTTCACGGTGAACACACGGGGAAAAATCAAAGTAGTATACGAAAACAACAACAAAAAAAATCACCTAACCGCCCTGATGACAGAAGGATGTCAGTCCAGCTAATTATGTAGGAAGGGAACGCACCAGCATGCTTTGGCATGCTAAACAATAAAATAAAATTCAATGTTTAATTCATGAATTGCAGCATACCATGAAATCATTGCAACATTATCATGCTGAGATAACAAAGTGGTGGTCAGTAAGCAACAAAAGGAGAAAAGAGAAGAGTTGTCATACTTTGGCTTTGGGAGAAAACGTGTCGATGGCAACAGCTTTGCAGAGTCGATATATAACTTGTCGCCAGGTAAGTACCAAGTCGCAATTATCCCCTCCAACATTTTGATCCAAAAATACTGAACAATAGAGAAGTGACTATCAAACTGAAGAAGCAAAATGCAGAACTAACAAAAGGACTCGTCGAATTGCACAAAGGGCTTACAGCTTCGTTTATGGGACCAAAGATCTCATCGACCTTTCCGATCTAAGTTTAGTTCTGCAAGTATATCGGGGCATTTAAGGTATCTTTGATTCGCGAGCTTCGTGACGACGTTCCCTTTGTTGAATCTCGTATTTTGATAATGAAACCAATTGATAAGTGTTTATGATTTGATCTGTGTATTTAGTGACGTAGGATGCTTCGATCGAGACAATTAAAGCAAGAAGAATCATGTTGGGCCAGAGGAATATGTCAGAAGATTGAACATCGAGCCGGAGGATCGGTCGACGTATCGACAGAAGGCTTCGGGCCATGGATTCAGGCATCGGGCCAAGAAGAGCGGATACTGTGCCAAGGATATCGGAGTTGCGGAGTCAACTGACCGATTAGGCAATAGGCCGCAAGAGAGGACGATGCGCGGAAGAATCGGACGAAGCGTCGATGGACCAATGACATACCGAACAACATGATTCAAGCTTAGTAATAATTGTCTAGATCGAATTTTACATGTGCATGATTAACTACGATAGCAAGGCATAAAGCAAAATGAAGTCTCGGAGTCAAGAACGCGATTTTGTTGGGAGTTCGAGAGTTCGTCGAAAGTCCAGACGTTTATCAGAAGTTCTGCAGGAACCAGCCGAGAAGTCTCAGAGCTTGCAAGAAAAGCTCGTCGGAACTCGCCAAGAAGATCATCATAAAGTCCAGGAGCTTGCCGGGAGTCCACTGGAACATTACCGAGAGATCGTCAGAAGTTCGCCGGAAGATCGCCGGAAGAAACTAGGCTTACGGACTTGTTTAGCTTAGGAAATGTCTTAGATTTCATAGTTAGCACGTAATTGGGATTGGAATTGGGCCAACCCAATTATGGGCCAGTTGGGCCAATGTAAGGATTGTGTTGGACCCAATGAAAGGCCCAAACAATGACCCAAGAAGTGGCACCGTCGTGACACAGTCTTCAAGACGGTGTCAGGCGGTGGTATGGCCCAGTGGCCCAATGCCAAGCGACGGTACCGCCAGACTGGGCGATGGTACCGCCCAGTGCAGTATCAGTGTCAGACTGACACTGGCGGTGGTACCGCCTGAACCCAAGAAAGCCAGGATGAGATGTTTTTAGGCTCCAAGTTTGAATCAACTTGAGGCCTATAAATACTCCTCTCATCCCTAGTTAAGATACACAAGCACAGAGAATTTAAAAAGGAAAAAACGTTGTTGTAATCTCTTGTGAGAATCCTCCTCTTCAAAATTCTAAGTGTTAAAATAGTTTAAAAGATGAGTGAGTGCTTATTATAGTTGTCTCCTAAACCGGGTAAAAGGATAAGAGGGGTGTAAGAAGGAGGTTGATCTTCATCTATTAAAGGAAGATCGATAGTGGATGTCGGTGGCCTCGACGGAAGAGGAATCGACGAAATGGATATAGGTCACGACAACCGAACCACTATAAAATTGGCATGTTCTTTGATTTACATTTCTATTTGTGCAATTAATCTTTACTGTAAACCTCCTTACTTGTTTTACTATGCCTACTCTCTTCCCTACACTTTCAAAGTTATTATTTTTACGAAACGATTTTTCGTCGGAAACGGATTTAATCGAAACGAAGTTTTTGGAACCGATGTAAGCTTTCCACTGTAATAATTCACACACCCCCCCCCCCCCTTCTTAGTGCCGACTCTTTTCCTAATACCCTTCCTTCACAACCGTGCCTACAACTTCGGCGGGAAGGCCTTCGTCGTAACCACCTCCCCGTCCCCTCGCGACAGCCGTCCCGGCCTCTGAACCCGCCACCGCTGCCACTCGGAGGCCGCATTCCCGCCGCTGAGGTACGCTGCCTGCGAACTGGGCGGAGATCCCTCTCTGCCGGCCATCGGGCTTTAGGGGATCGAACGCGGGAGTGCGGGCATAGGGTTTAAGAAAAATGTCTGCTGCATTCGCTGTGTATTTGTAAGGGGGCTTTAGTCAATTGAGGCAAAAAAAAGTACAAAGATTCGATTGCGGGACACGGATCTGTTCGGTCGATCTGACCCGTCCATAGACCATATACATATCTCACTTTATACATGCAATTCAACTTATGACAATGTGTTAAAATGTAACATTTCTGTCGCACTTGCAAGCTAAATTGCAAATCACAATTAGATCATCGTATCCTTCCCATCCTAACTCGTCCCTCTCTCAGGCATTGCCTCCTCGCACGCTTCCTCTTTCATCCTCTTCATTCATATAACACGCCTCATTTTCCTTCTCCAAATTCTAATCCTCGTTTCCTCTGTCTTTACTACAATTAGACATCTAAAAACTACACTTACTATCTCAATAAATATTGACTTAACTTGATTCCAAAATTCTAGATTGTTTTTGTATGACAGAGGTGATTTGGAAAGAGAAACACGTCTATATTTCTCCGAATAACTAAATTATTGCGACAGAAGAAAATTGGCTTGTTTCAATAATTTGCCTACCAATTCCAACAAAACCTAATCAGAGAAAATTGGCAACATGTGGATCTGACACTCTCCTCAAATTATTATGAAAAAGAAAAGACTACAAATGAATGGAATGATCGAATTAATTCCATGATTCAACTACTTTTTCTGCATTCAACTACCAATTCAACTACTTTTGCTAGTCCAATTTTGAATTTAAGCTGTTTTAACAGTTGAGAACTACTTGCATAGCATATGAAATAATAACATGCCCCAAGAAAATAATATCTTGTATCATAGGTCATACTGGAGAACGATAACATCTTGATATATTTCTTTTATTGCAAAAAAAACATGCCCCAAGAAAACATGCATATGGAAAGGAAAGATGTCAGAAGCTTATTATGTCAAATATATGACATTTTTTGGGACACAAACAATAATCGCATAGAGAACAGAAGCAAACAATTGACACCAGAAGAAAAACCAAAGTAGCAGAGCTTATTTTATGAATAAAAAGAAATAGCAGAAAAATATAGCACAACAGAGGTCTTAGAATGGGACAATGAGGAAATATGCAATCAGGTAATAGAAACTATGAGCACATAAATCATGTATGCACCAGCTTCTTGACTATAGAAGCCATATATTTGCCCTGGTACTCAGCAAGAGAAAGCTCAGCTTCACTAGGTTGTCTCGTTCCATCTCCAGCAAAAACACCAGCACCATATGGAGATCCACCTCTAATTTCATCCATCTTGAACATTCCAGCTCCAAAGGTATATCCGATAGGAACGAAGAGCATGCCATGATGGGTTAATTGGGTGAGCGCAGTCCAACTACAGAAGTAAAATAATAGACATTAATCTAACCAAGCTTCTAGAAAAGAGAAGAAAGTAGTAAGTTCATTTAAAAGCCGCTGTGAGGGCCAGAGCAGATTAAGCTTCTGCATTAAGTTCCTTGTCAATGAAGATTTAAACTGTATGTGATTTAAACTTTTGTCTTGTTGAAATATTAAGTTCCTTGTAACAATGAAGATATATAACATGCAGAAAAAAGAGAGATCTTTTGGTTTACATCCTTCCTGGCCATTTGCATTATATATGTAAAGATGACAAGAACTTATTAACCATTGACACAAAATATTTTTCAAGATTAACTAGTGAAAGCAATCAGATAGAAATATCTAGTCGATACAACAAAGAATTTTAGGTGCAGGTACCAAAAGAAAAAATGACATCTATAATCATATTGCCATATCAACCTTTTGTGCAGTAATTAGGATCTATTTATCACCAAAGCTTCCTGAGGCAAGTAAAAAAGCTACACAAGACTGAAATTAATATACAAAAGGAATTGGGAAAATCCAGATACAAAGAATATTTCTCAGCGTATCTCATTAAAAGAAAATATTGAGCATGCATAGTTAAAAAGAACATTTCTTGGTTACTGAAATCATGCTATTATTTGTTTAAATATATAGTTAGTTTCAACCAAAAAACAACTCTTTTAATTGTTAAATGGGCTCGCCAAATTCAATACTATCTTTTTCTAAGTCGGTCTTACCAAGTGTAGTGTATTTCTTTTCTTGGCAGTCTGCAACTACAAACAAAAATGTGACTGCTTTATCTGCTAGATGAAGCTTGACATTTTAAAATTTATAGAAACAGCTACCTACAACCACTAGTAAGTAGGTTGAACAGTCGAAAGCTCATGCACTCTTTTCTCCCTCTTTGCGGTGTCAGTGACGTAGGAGAATAATCTTGGATTTGAAGATAGTAGACAAAAAGAAGATTAAAAAAGTGACCCTATATACAACAAATCACAGGATAAAATACCTTCTTCATTCAACAGGTTACATAGCAATTCATAAACAGTGCATTCATGAACCTGAATGCACAAAAGATTAAGATGGTTAACTTTCATATCACTATATTACCTCATAGGTGAAGGTAGGTATTTCTAATAAAAATAAATAATTATGTATGAACGATGCCAGAAGAACAGAGATTGCAGTGATCTCACCAAGTAACAGTCCTAACCTACAACACCACCAATACAACCACAAAGAACCCTTAATCCAACAATTTCGGTGTAAAAGTACTTTCCCTCAAGTTAGTAAAAGTCCTATAATTCTCGAAATCGTGTTTCTCCTGTTTATAGGGAATTCTTTGCTCCAGTCCTTTTCTCGCACCTCTATTTGAAAACATTTATCTTTGAGCCAATAACAGCAAATGAAAAATAAAGAAAATAGATTCATGCTGAGTTATCCACCATAAAATACCAGCATAGAATTAATTCAACATAGGCCAAGTAAACTGCAAGCATCCATTCGATGAAGAAGACAGGTTATCACATATTGAATAACATCAAGGTGAAACAGAAAGAAAAATGGCAGAGATGGTCTTACGCGGTAGTTTCTTGCCCTCCACCTTGAGTCCCAGTGCTCACAAAGAACCCGGCAGGTTTCCCTGCAAGCTTCTGTTCTCTCCATAACTGCCCTGTAGAATCAAAGAATGCCTTCATCTGAGCCGCCATGCACCCATACCTCGTCGGAAACCCGAACAGTATCCCGTCCGCTTCAACCAGCTCTGCAGCCGATATCTCTGGAATTGACGGATCCTTCGGTGGAGCGTACATCTTCTCCAAGACGTCCGATGGGAGTGTCTCTGCAACACGATACAGGACACCCTCTACACCATCAGTGCCGTCGACGCCCTTCTTCATCTGCTTTGCTAGGGCCTCGACGTGGCCGTACATGGAGTAGAATACGATGAAGATCTTGACCTTGGTCTCGACCACCGGTGGCCCGGCAGGTTCCACGACCTCTTCGCTGCCTTCAATCTTCTCCTCGGTGGGAAGGGGAGCATTCCTCTCCACAATGGTGACGGCCTGATCAGAGGCAACCGTTGGCTGCTTCTTCTTGCTCGGAAAGCAACCTCCTCCTTTCCCCATTTATTCCAATCTCTTGTTAGTAGCTGCAGAACTCCACTTCCTTCGTAAGATTACTTCTTCCGAACACCCAAATTAGTCCAAACTGGGGAGAAATCCTTCAAAGAATAAGAATTCTCTTCCTCGCCAAAGGGATTGATCAAAACCCTAACTTTCTAAAATGTCTTACGGATTTCGATCCGTAGCAATCAATTTGCTTCAGCACTGCTAAAAAAGGGTAATCTACAGATCAATAACCCAACAAAGAATCTCAAATCTTCACAGGAAAGGAAAAAAGCTCACAAATCTTTCCGATTGAGACAAATATTCCGTGAATCAATTCAATTCAGCTCTCGACGGGGAAAGAGAACCCCACCTCGAGCGACAGTTGAAACCGATGCCTCCGAAATCTTTGTAAAAGGAGAAATTTTTCTTAGGAGACCTTCCGCTTCGTGGAAGCGAATCGAATCGAATCAAATCCTTCTTAGTCGGGACGAGAAATAAATTGAGAAAAAGAGCATTCAAATCGTTCGAAAACGGCATCAAATCACACTGATACCGACCACAATTGATTTGGAAAACGACGAGAATAATAAAGATGGCACAGCGTCGTGGTAAGATTCTTACCCTAAGATTTCCATGGAGAGGAGTTCCCGCGATCTCCTGCGGCGTTCCGAGATCCGACTCGCGTTGGACTCCCATCGGTCTTCGAACGGGGACGAGTAAAACTAGTAGGATGTTCGAGCTCCTCGCATCGCTGCGCTGTCATGTGGACCTTCCAGAAGATTCGACACCGAGATACTGTGCTACTTACCACCGTCGAAGGATCGCTACTACAAAACGCGTACGAAACAGGGTAATTGGCCACTTAATAGATGACACGTTAGCCTAATCTTCAATATTTCCGGCTGCAGTAATTGCTGATCTCGTCGAATTCGGAATTTTTAGATTTTTTGTATAAATTAAAATTCTAAAAATCTTAGTTTTTACAGGTAATTATTATAAAATCTTAGATTCAAATCTCATCTTAATTATTTATCCTTTGCAATATATATTCTTTATGGTAATACGCATAGCATAAATAGAAGAACCCTATACTTATCCTAAATCGTGTTTTCAACACTCAAATCAGGAAAATGACACAACATATTATGTTTTCTATAAGAATACAAAGCCAAAACCAAAATAAAATAATTTCCATAAAATAATTATTATATAAATCAATTCATAATTAATTTGCATATATATTAATTCATAATCAACTCACATGACAAATATTACATATTCCAAACCATAATTATGACGTTCAATAAATTTAATAACTCCTTAAAAATTCATTATATTATAATTTAAATAATATACATAAAATAATATCAATGTATAATAATCTTAATAGATTAATTATATAATTCGATCAATAATCAATCCTTCATATTTTTCGCTATGTAACTTTAAAATATTTAAATACAATCATATGAGTAAAACATAACTCATATACTAGTATGCGATAGGTCGAGTTGAGTTTGAGTCTCGTCTCTCAAGCACAATCTTCTCTTTTCAAGTGTAACTTGTTTCTTCGAAATTAAATGCCTCTTGGCGCCGATTAAGAAGTCGATTTTTTATACCTACGAGCAAGAATCGATCCTACACGATCGATTTCTCGAGCGACCGACCTATACTTCCCGCATGAGCACCGATTAAGCAACATGGATTTGTGTTGCACAACGTCGCTCTAAGCTTTCCGAAGCGGCTTTGTGTCATGCGACGCTATCTTGCATGACCCAGGTCAGCGCGGGGCAGACGATCATCCTGTTTGAACCCGAGGTGGCACGTCGACGCTGTGCGCCGTGTCAACCTCGATCCTCCATGCTTGATATTGACTTCGTCATTGACCATGATTGATGCCAGGATATATCCTGTTAGCAAACCAAATACTGCTCACAAGATTCCTCCTCACATCCCACTGTGGACCTTTAATGCTCCAACCAGTTAGATAACAGCGTTTAGTGTGGCAACCAATTAGTCTATGAGAGAAAAAGAGACCCTTTTCCAACAAAGTGTAATAGCAACAGTGATCATTAGCAGAAGAACTGCTCCCAAAACTCATCACACAATGATCATTGGAGCAGCAAACTCTCCATAGAATTTCATTTCTTGATACAATATCTAAGAGTATCCACCATTCCACCTATGTTTCATTCTCTCTCTATAATTTCCACGTCAAACCATAAAAAAAATGGCCTTGATGGCATTGTTGTGCTAATGATGAAATGGAAGTATCTTGAAATTATCTAAAGAATCAATTTTTTACAAACCCGTGATTTAATAACCAAATTACTAAATTCACAAAAGAAAAGTAGAACTAGGTAATGAAAAATGTAAAAAAAACTGATTTTATCACCATAATTATTTGTACTTCAAAAAATTAAACTAATTTTTATAATTTCATATATCAGGTTTGTATTATCCTGACTAATACCAGAGTCATACTAGCATGCGTCAGTATTTATCGAGTTAAAAAAAAAACATATAAGTCCGTATACCATATTCTACGTATGCAAAGATTAAATATCATCGGTATCGAATCGTATGTATTTCAAACCTTTGAATATCACGAATAAGTTTATGAAATTAAAATTGATAATAAAAAATAGGATAAGCTGCAGAAAATGTAGAGCAGCATCAATAATCTCATAAGATAGTTCAAAAACAAATGGGAAGGCCAATGAAACAGGCTCTTGAATCATCAAGGGCAGGCAAAGTAAACATGAAGAAGAAACAATGCAAAAGAACATGTTAGAAATAGACAAACTGTATCACTTGGACTTGTGCAAGTTCATCTGGACATTGGACCTTACATTGCTTTACCTATTCCAGTGTCAGTTCCTCTCTCTTTACAAATATTTCATTCCCATATTTAACTACACTTGACACAAATGCCTTGGCAGTTTCATTAAAGGTAGCAGAAAACAAAAGAACCTAAAGAGAAGAAGCCATTAGAATTCACAGGAAACTTGAAGGCCAAACCTTATATAGACACAATGACAAATGCTAGCCATCGCAATTACTTTGTAAATATAAACAACTGACGAATGAGTCAAACATAAGCATGGTAATTGAGCTTAGAGGTAAGCAAAAGGATGGCCATTGCCTAAAGGAGCTCACATGAGCTGAGCTTGGCCTGTCCTGAACAAAGAACAGCAAGAGAAATGCATACGAGGATGAGAAAACTATCTGTCTCGATTCTTCCTATCCATAAGCTCCCAAAGAATTATCCATTTCTATCCTTTCGAAACTCATGAGCCCCAAAAAGAAGGATAAGGGTGACCCTACAGACATATAGACGCTATGTTCTCCTATTCTTCAATCAATATGAGACTAAATATCTTAATCAATACTCCACCTGTGTAGAAGAGTCACTAGCTCATGACCATCCTTATAGCATCATTAGTATGACCCCGTAGATTTTGTATCGACATGTCCGTCCTATTACCATGGCGTCAATTACCATTTTAGATTATATGCATGTCAACTAAAGAGTTTAGATTATATCAAGTCCGATTACCGTGACGAAATCAAGAAATATTGTATCAAATCTAAATATTTATTACCATTTTCAGAATATACCAAGAATGATGATCATATCAATAATTTACCACCACCCTCAGAATGACATGTTAAGAAAGAACTAATATTTTTTTAAATTTTTGCAAATATAAAATGCAATTATAACTTGTAGAAATGTAATTGCCTCCTTCCTTGTATAAATGTGAGAGAATGACATCAACATCGAGCTTTTAAATTTCATTCATTTACCTTTTCATTCCACCTTTTTTTTTCTTCTCAAAATCCGATTAAAATCGCGCCAAGTCCTATTTGGTGTTTTCTTTTGGTTTCTCGAATCAAGATTTCATCTTCTTCCGGCGTAAAGGAAGCACAAGAGGTCTTTAGATTTCATTCCTAGTGGAGCTCCCAAGAAGTTGGCAGAACCAGATAGAGGTCTTGACTCGGTCCGGAAGCGATGAGTGGGTTACGAGGGAGACTCAGGACCTTGCTGAACAACAGATGGCTGGTTTTCGTGGCCGCAATGTGGGTGCAGGCGGTCGCAGGGACCGGGTACCTCTTCGGCAGCCTGTCGCCGGTCATCAAGAGTTCCTTGGGCTACAACCAGCGCCAGATCGCGAGGCTCGGAGTCGCCAAAGATCTGGGCGATAGCATCGGCTTCCTCGCCGGAACCCTCTGCGAGATCCTCCCGCTCTGGGCGGCGCTGTTGGTCGGAGTGCTGCAGAATTTCGTGGGATACGGCTGGGTTTGGCTCGTCGTGACGGGAAGAACCCCACGGATGCCGCTGTGGGCGGTGAGTGGACGTCCTTTTGATCGATCGTTTGGAATTAGACATATGGTTTTAAGTTCGTGATGTCAATTCTAATCATGAGTTTTTCTGTTCTACAAGTGACCTTCTTTGATCCTTCTCTGCCTCGTGCGCAGATGTGTGTTCTTATATTTGTGGCGACGAATGGAGAGACCTACTTCAACACCGCTGCGCTGGTTTCCTGCGTGCAGAACTTCCCCAAGAGCAGAGGCCCTGTCGTGGGCATCTTGAAAGGCTTTGCCGGTCTCAGTGGTGCGATCTTGACCCAGATCTTTGCAATGATACATACGCCCGACCATGCCGCTTTGCTCTTCGTGGTCGCCGTCGGGCCATCCATGGTGGTCATCGCCTTGTTGTTTATCGTCAGGCCCGTCGGCGGCCACCGGCAAGTGAGGCCCTCGGATCAATCCAGCTTCATGTTCGTCTACAGCGTTTGCTTGCTCCTGGCCGCGTACTTGATGGGCGTCATGCTCCTGGAAGACCTGGTTGACCTCGGCCACACCGTCATCGTCGTGCTCACGCTGCTGCTTCTATTGCTCTTGTTGGCTCCGGTCGTCCTTCCCTTGCTGCTCACCTTCCATCTCGATGTGGTTTCTCCTGTTCAAGAGCCTCTGTTGCCCGAACCTTCACAGGCAGAAGAGACGAGTCAATCTGCAGAACAGACTGAGGTCATTCTCAGTGAGGTGGAGGATGAGAAGCCCACGGACGTTGACCTGCTCCCTGCATCAGAAAGGCAGAAGCGGATCGCTCACCTGCAAGCCAAGCTGCTCCAAGCCGCTGCCGACGGAGCAGTCAGGGTGAAGAAGAGGAGAGGCCCTCGCAGGGGGGAGGACTTCACCCTGATGCAGGCGCTGAGAAAGGCAGACTTTTGGCTCATGTTCCTCTCTCTTCTCCTCGGATCGGGCTCTGGATTGACGGTCATCGACAACCTTGGTCAGATGAGCGAGTCTTTGGGCTATGACGAGGCTCACATTTTTGTCTCCATGATCAGCATTTGGAACTTTCTTGGTCGAGTAGGCGGAGGCTATTTATCCGAGCTCATCGTGAGGGACCGTGCGTATCCAAGGCCGGTGGCGTTGGCTTGCTTCCAGGCTGTGATGGCGATCGGGCACCTGTTCTTCGCCATGGCCTGGCCTGGAACGATGTACGTTGGAACCTTGTTGATCGGACTTGGATATGGAGCTCACTGGGCCATAGTTCCTGCTGCTGCATCAGAGCTGTTCGGGTTGAAGAACTTTGGAGCCCTCTACAATTTCCTGACGGTGGCTAATCCTGCAGGTTCATTGATCTTCTCTGGCCTCATTACCAGCGTAATTTACGACGACGAAGCAGCGAAACAAGCTCAAGGAAACATCAACTCGTTGCGAGGTGCTCTGCTCGGCGTGGATGAACCATTAAAATGCACAGGGACCATCTGTTTCTTCCTCAGTTCACTGATCATGTCCGGGCTTTGCGTCATAGCAGTCATCTTGAGCCTCGTCCTCGTTTACAGGACCACAAGTGTGTACCTCAACCTTTACGGGCGCGCTCGCACATAGCCATCTCCCAGAAGAGAGATCGATGAAAGCCACTACTGTGGTTCTTCTTCCTACTTCTGTGAAGTAAACATGATGTATCTTAATCCGAGATATGATCATGTCGGGACTTGAAAGCTTGAATTGATCTTGGGATCTTATGGTGATTCGATATGATCTTTACCGGTTAAGCTTAGCATCTTCTAATATTTTACTTAGCCTTTAATATATCTTTTTTTGATGGGGAATTATAGGATGGTAGTAACATAACCGACTAGCTGGCAATTCATAATGTGACTACTAAAACTGGTTGGTTGTTTCCTTTTCAAGTCGCATTAAAAGAAAGAAAATATATCTCCAATTACGATGAATCGAATCTCGGAGGATTCCAAAAGGAATCTCCTCTAACGTCCTTCTCCGATTAGATACAGCCGAATCATACTCATCGTACTAACAGGAAAAGGAAATTTGACAGCATTGCAAGGTCAACGCTTGACTCAATGTTAAGTTTGCGAATCTCCCGTTCTGCAGCAGACCGATTCTTCAGAATTTCCAGTGAAGAATCTTAAGATTCGGTTTCTCTCATTGCAATTTTTCACTCTGTTAATTTTAAATAAAAATATTCGTAGAATTTTAATTAGATATTTTCAAACAGACGATGGAGATCAGAAGTCGCAGCTGATGAACGGCTAGAAACCCTCCTTATCATATATATTCCGTTCTGCTTCTTCCTACGCTCACCCAAAAATTGCCGGTTCTCCTCGAATTCCGAGATATCGTATATAGGCTTGAGTTGCGGTTGCGAAACCAAATCATGTAGGATTCAGTGTATTTTTAATTTCAAACTAATCATGCAATTGTCGTTATCACCCTTGATTCTGCGAATCATGCGTGTATCTGTGGACTCGATGCCTGAGTTTGTGGGCGGAGGAGCCAACCCAGCATTGTATCTGATCCTATAAATGCTGATTCTGTGTGGTTTTGCCGTGGGGCTCGCTGCGGTTATCTCCTCTGTCGTCGGAACGAAGAGCTTGCAGAGGGAGGGGAGATCGAGATGTCGCTCCCATCGAGCCTTCTGCCGAGCGAGGGCGCGCCGGAGTGGCTCAACAAGGGGGACAACTCGTGGCAGCTGACCGCCGCCACGCTCGTCGGGCTTCAGAGCGTTCCGGGCCTGGTGATCCTCTATGGCAGCATCGTCAAGAAGAAGTGGGCGGTCAACTCGGCCTTCATGGCGCTCTACGCCTTCGCCGCCGTCTTAATCTGCTGGTGCATCTGGGGCTTCCGCATGGCCTTCGGAGAGCCGCTCCTCCCCTTCTGGGGCCGTCCCGACGCCAACGTCCTCGAGCAGAAGTTCCTCCTGGCCCAGGGCTTCGCCGGGCTCTACCCCAACGCCACGCTGGTCTACTTTCAGTTCGTCTTCGCCGCCATCACGCCCATACTGATCGCCGGCTCGCTGCTCGGCAGGATGAACTTTAAAGCGTGGATGCTGTTCGTGCCGCTGTGGCTCACCTTCTCGTACACGATCGGCGCGTTCAGCCTCTGGAGCCCGAACGGGTTCCTGTTCAAGGCCGGCGTCATGGACTTTGCCGGAGGCTACGTCATCCATCTCTCCTCCGGGATCGCCGGACTCACCGCTGCTTATTGGGTATGAACAGAGAGCACATCTAATTGATGCGCCGTCATCGTTGTTGTAGTATGTGCACCAACGTTCTTCATCTGTTGCAGGTCGGGCCGAGAGTGGCGAAGGACAGGGAGAGGTTTCCGCCCAACAACATCCTGCTAACGCTGACCGGCGCGGGACTGCTGTGGCTGGGGTGGACTGGTTTCAACGGTGGCGCTCCCTACGCGGCCAACCTCGCCGCATCTATCGCCATCGTCAACACTCATCTCTGCACCGCCACCAGCCTCCTCGTCTGGCTCTTCCTCGACATGTTCTACTTCTCGAAGCCGTCAGTCATCGGCGCCGTCCAGGGAATGATCACCGGCCTCGTTTGCATCACTCCTGCCGCAGGTAAATCCAGATTCATACCATCGAACTACAAACATTGTGCCTACCATCGACGTATTTGTTTGGAGAACAGGGCTGGTGCAGCCTTGGGCAGCCATCATCATGGGCGTCCTGTCAGGAAGCATTCCCTGGTTTACCATGATGGTGCTCCACAGGAAGATCCAATTCCTGAAGAAGGTCGACGACACGCTCGCCGTCTTCCACACCCACGGCATTGCCGGCAGCTTGGGCGGCATCCTCACCGGAATCTTGGCCGACCCAAGACTGAACCGCCTCTTCTTCGGCGACAATCCCAGTTACGTCGGACTCGCCTACGCCATCAAAATGGGCCGCGCCACCGCAGGACTGCGTCAAATTGGCATGCAATTCGCCGGCATTGGATTCATCATTGCGCTCAACGTCGTCATCACCAGCGTCATATGCTTGCTGATCAAGGTGGTCGTCCCGCTTCGACTTAGCGAGGAGGAGTTGCTGGTGGGAGACGACGCCATCCACGGCGAGGACGCCTACGCGGTGTGGGGCGACGGCGAGACGTACGAGAAGTCGATTCATGGGTACGAGAACTTCGCCTCTGCGAAGACAGAGGAGATGGCATGAGGAGCAAAACACGGTGCATGGCTCTACATATTGTACACATTATGTAATTGGAGCGATTCGATCAGGTTTAAGCACAGACCCATAATTGCCGTATGAATCTCCCTTAATAATTTTGCTTGGGGACTGTAACAGATTTTATATTTCTTCATGAATTATTTGATTCCTCTCATGCCATCAGTATATTCTTCTTGTGAGAGAGTAAATAACAAGTTTTATTGTTTACTCTGACATTGCATTCTAAAATTTTTCCATATGGAATAAGATTTCTTGACCCACGAATATTCACGAGAATCAATAATAAAGGTTAGATTTATATTTATATTTATAATTTAAAACGCATAGTTTATTATATGAAAATACAATAAATATAAGAAACAAAATTTTCTATTTAATTAACTCAAATCCAGTTGCTTTAGATTTTCTCTAGCATGTAAAGTGTGTTTATTCAATTACTAAGATATTTACGGGGATTTATTAGATGAAATATATCTCCTAAAACATTTATTGGATTTTAATAGCTTTGTTATAAATTATTCTATATAATTAGTTATTTTTAGCATTTTATTATCTATACTTTCAAAAATTATATTAGAATCTTTATATTTATAAAAATAAAAATATTTAATTTTATTTTTTCTCGCATTATTGACTTTGTTTTGAAAATATCATATGATTTATCATTAAGTATACGCTCACTCGACTTCACTTCAATTTATCACTAAGTACATATAAACTTTTTGTTAGCAGAGTTGACAGCGTGGAAAAACATAGTTAAATATTTCATAAGTATATAGATTCTTATAATTTTTTTAAAATTATATAAATTAAAAATATTAATAATAATTAATTATAAAAATATAATTAGTTTGATTTTAATGAAACTTTATGGTCAATGTTATAGATAGGTATAACTTTATGACAATGAAAGAATAATTCTATATTGATAAATATCAAGAGAATCAATGATATATATTATAATTTATTAATTATTTTTTAAAAAAATTATATGAACAATAAATAAAGAAAAATAAAAATAAGGATTTTTTTTGAGAAATCGTTCATTTATTTATAAAAAAAGTATTATTGTGTAATCAAATTTCGTGATCCCAAACGAATGACGTCAGCGAGAAGGGTGTGTTGGGCCCACTAGTCAAAGCTCCTAATCATATTTGGCAATAATTTAACTGGATAAATTAATTAGACCAAACCAACGTTAAATGAGGCTGCCGCGTCAAGTTTGAAGACAAATATCTCCCCAATCCCACCTACCCCTTTCACACCGTTCAATTTTGCTCGTGGGACCCACGGTTTTTGTCCCACTTCGATAGCACGTGCTGAGCGAGTGAGCGTTTGAGTAGATTCCTCGCAGATTAATTAGCCGAACGGGTTCGTCGGAATTGAGAAAGAAATTAATTGCAATTTAATTTATTATATATGATAAAATATACATCCTATAAAGAAGAAGAAGAAAGAAACGAAGGATTTGGCGATTTGTTTGGGGTCTCGAAAGCTTCTTCGAAGCCCCTCTTTTCTCATCTCGTCTGGCGCGGCGCTCAATTCGACAGCAAACCCTACCTTTCCGGACCGAGAAGCACTTCGATTCCGCATTCCCCGCTTGCATTCCTCACCTTTCGCCTCGTCTCCTCCCCGGCCGCCGCCGTAGCTGATCAGAATCGGAGGTGGGGAAGGAGGGGGGCGTTCGGTGGGGCCCGTGAATTCCAAGGGGAGGCGCGGGAGATACCCATTTGTGTGCTTGCCTCAATGGTCTGTCGGAATCCATGGATTCCGAGGAACCTACGGCATCGGCCTACTCGTGCGGACGCGGAGGAGGAGGCGAGGACACCGTGGGTGGAACATTCGCCTGCTCTTGCCTCTACTGCGGTCATGCTTCCGTTCGCTCCGCCTCCTGGCGCCGGTCTGTGAGGCGGAAGCTGGACAGCAGGGCAGCTGGGGCCCGCTCGATCTCGCGCGTCACGGAGGAGCTTGGCGCCGTGGCCCGCGTCGCACGCGTGGAGATCGAGAACGAAGCGGCTGCCCTCCGCGAGACCCTCGTCAGCCACCAGCAGTCGATCCAGAAGCTCCAAGCGGAGCTGGAGGAGGAGCGGAGTGCCGCGGCCTCCGCTGCCACGGAGACCATGTCGATGATCCTCCGGCTCCAGCACGAGAAGGCCGAGGCCCAGATGGAGGTTCGCCAGTTCAAGCGCTTCGCGGAGGAGAAGATGACCCACGACCAGCAGGAAATCGCCGTCCTCGAGGACCTCCTCTTCAAGCGCGATCAGGCCGTGCAATCCCTCTCCTTCGAGGTCCAGGCATATCGTCACCGTCTCCTCAGCTACGGCATTGACATCCACGGCGATGCACCCCCTTCCGAGCCGCAGACCCCTGATACCGCCACGACCGCCTGTGCCGTTCCCCATTTCGACCTCCTACCTGACGACTATCCCCCATTGAGGTGCCGTGGTGATGCTGGTATTGAACTCGATAACTATCCTTCCGGGGAGACCCCACGCGAGCACCTGCAGAAGCTTGAGCAGCGCATCTTTCAGCTTGAGCGGATGCCAAGCAGCAGCTTTTCCAATGTCATGGATAAGGGAGTCGTGGTAGGGCAGTCACCACGCAGTGGTTCAAGGGATCTCAGGAGTTTCTCCTATGGCAGCTGCTGTTCAGGTCTGAATTTCAATAACGGGGAGGAGTTTCCAGCGGTGATGGATGGTGCATCGGATTATGGTGGAAGGGATGATATGTGTGACAGAATATACACTGTGGATGCGGTGCATGGGGCAAGCGAGGATTATGTTAGCACCCCAAGGGAGCTTCAGAACAGGAGAAATTTGGGGGGTGAGGCTAGGGAAACAGAGATAAGGAAGCTTCATACAAGGCTACAAGCACTTGAGGCTGATAGGGAGTCAATGAGGCAGACATTAATTTCTGTGGGTACCGATAAGGCTCAGATGGTGCTGTTGAAAGAGATTGCTCAACAAATGCAGAAGGAAGCGACACAAGAGAGGAGCTTCATCAAGAAACCATCTCCTCCCAAGAGGATTTCAATCATGTCGATGATCAAGGTAAAGATTTATCTGCCAATTACTTCATGATGATAATTTTAGTCACTTGTATAACTTCAAGTCAATGATAAGTACCTGCCTTGACAAATATGCATATATATTCCTGGTAGATAAGATTCTTGTGTTGTGCACTCATCAGGCTTCGTTTAATGTGTGTAAATTTGCAGACACCCTATATGTGTAAGTTTGCAAAACCCTCAAGAGAGATGCATCTCAACATGCAAGTATTGAGCCACTAGTAGCATAAGTGATAAATTCTCCATCATTGATTTGATAAAATACTTTTGATGGGGAGAAGGTCTTTAAACCTACAAGGGTAGTTGCTTGTAGGAAGCTTTAATTTGTTTGTCTCTGTTCAGTTAGAGGTTCCTTGAACAATGAAGCAATTTCAAAATTTTCTTGAAAATTGGAAGAAATCTAAACTTAAGTGGACTTTCATGTTTTGTCATACAAAATTCTGAAGTTCAAGGGTTTGTTGTGTCCATAATGCAGCCCAATGCAGGTTTTGCAATACTCTTTAGTTAATTGTAAGTAGTTCGATCAGTTAGTTAATTTTGCATGATATTTGCATTCTTTGATAATGGGATGTTTACTTTGTGTTATTTTTCCTTCGTCAAGTGTAGTATATTTAAGAAATGAAAATTCATTTGATATCACTCTTCTTATGTAATACTGAAGCTATTGCTATCTGTCAGTGACCTGAGAAAATTTTGGAAAGTCGTTGGAGTTTAATGCTATATTTAGATTAGAAGAAGTAAATTTTGAAGTAATGGAGGAAAACAAAAATATAATAATGCTTTGTGTATCTTTCCTGAATGAATGTTACAATCACACTAATATATAGAATAGCCATGGAAATAATTGTAGTCTTATTTTGATTTGAACAGCTAAATGATATATGTTATTAAATCTTTGTTGATGATAACTGATAAGTTGTTTGCAATTAAGGGGTATAATAGTTCTTTGGAAGCATTTCTTGACTCCAGGTGCATTCATTATGTTTGACCTTCTTTTGTTTCAGTTATGTTCTATATATGAAGTGTCTAGTGTATCTGAAAGATCCAGAATCATGAAAGTGAACAAAGCTTTTGTAATGTTTCTAGGGACCTAATAGCTCCTCAAGCAAGTAGTTGTAGCATAAGCCTTCAGATAGCAAGTATGGCGAATCACCTAATAGAATTTTTTCATTTTTCACTGTTCTTTCTCTCTAAAATATCACTTAGTGGAAGTTCGTGTATGCTCAGAAATATATCAAATATATCACATATCATTTGTACATGAGTCTTTTTGGTATGACAAGAATCGTTATATTTGTTTCTTCATCCAACTAGCTGAAGGCCCATTTCATAGCCAAAAGAATCTCCATCACTTCCAATGGTGATTATTGATGCGATTCTTCTAAGATTTTATGCCAAGTTTTTTGTATTATGACTCGACTAGATGGAATAATTGTCTCATTAATTTGATGAGCTTGAATGGTGGGCTTAAGTTGTTTATGCTCAAGTTAATAATAGTAAACCTATTTAGTTCTATAAACCAACTCAATCCTTCTCTCACTTCCAATGTAGGACTAAACTAGGATATCACAATTTCCTCCTCTTTTAAGGCTTAATGTTCTTGTCATGAATATAACATAACCCATAATCATACTTTAGTATGATGCACATAGGGCCTGGTAGCTCTACCTGGTGGTTGTTTCATCTGCAGGTTGTCCATGTCCAATACTAAGTCTATTTTGGTATGTTTTGTTATGATATGATTTGATGTGATAATTTAATCCATTAACTTCATGAGCCCGAACTATAACTATTAGTTCAAAAACCTTAAGGCCAAGGTAGCAATAATAGACTCATCTAGTTCTGTAGACCAACTCAAGCATTCTTCCACTGTCAATGTGAAACTAAATTGGATACCACATGTATGGACTTTTTGGACTGTATGGTGCTATCACAAAATAGACTCATCTAGCTTAGGAGATTTGGTGCCAACCTTCTATTGTTGTTTTCTTTAACATGTTTTATAATCAACCTCTTTCATGAATCATGATGTACTGATGAACAAGCAAAGTTTTGATCTCTTTTTGTCTAGGCCAATTTGTTGTTTATGCTTCGAGTTGGAATATGAATATCTTGGGCATTATGTAGTACCAAAGGCGTACTTGATCAACTTTCACTGGCAATGGTGGACGTTAATCCCCCACGTCATCTTATTATCTCTTTGTGTGATGAATGTCCAACTTTAACATCATTCACCATGCAAATTGGCCCTCTGAATAGCCACTAATTTTGATGTAGCAAGGTTTCTTTTTTCTCTAATGTTGTCATTGTGGACCTCAAACTGTGCAACTATTTTATCTTTGTCCTAAGAAGGAAGGTAACACTATGACACTTTGCAGAATCTTCTCTTGTTACTGACTCTTTAATGGACATGCTATTTGACTAGGCGACTAGGTTGCATAGTGCTATCCTGAGGGCAATATCTCTTATGACATGATTGCTGTGTTTATGCCTTCTATTATTAAGCTAAGTCTCTTGTTAGCATTCACTGAAGAAGTCTGGAAATATATTTTTTTCAAATATGCATGTATGACCTTACTATTGGGGGACATTGTTTGTAAAGTTGATAATCTAATATTAGTTCCATATTCTAATTTCACATACTCTTTTTATTCAAAACCCTAGATGTCTCAATATGTGTAAGGCATCATTAAGGTAAAGGAAGTCACTGTATCACTGACTTATTTAATATTTACTATGCCATTTCTATCAATATAATCTACTGTTTCTTTTTTCTTATATTTTCTTCCTGATTTTTGTTTTTTCCCCAGAGTGTCGTCTCATTTGTTTTCTGGAGAAAGAAATCATCTCGGGTCAAGTAAGTCTTTACTTTTCAGTTTAATGTAGTGATTTTTTTCCTTTTCTTTTTTATTTATGTAACATGTATCATGGCAAAGTGTTGCTTGTTATCTTAGCAGGTATACTTTTGGGTTGTCGGCAAGCAATGTTGGCTTGTTGTTGCTTCTGGACAAGTCGCCCCGTGTGAGGCACCGGAGGTTTCTCACAAGAACATAGGAGTCACATCATCTAATTCTGACGCCAAGCAGTTTTTCTAGAGCATAATGAGCTAAATGTGTGATTCCCATATGGATTTGGATCTTGGGTTTCTATTCCCAAATCTATTCTTTCATCTACTTTAATGTAATATTGGCTTAAAATCTCATTTTATTCTTTGTTGTTTTTCTGCATGTCTTCAGATTGTTTGCAGTTTTACTGGGTTAGTTGTGTGTCTTTGATTTAGTATTCTGTTGAGAGTGATCTTGCGATGTATTTGTTTTGTTGTGTGAATATACTGAATTGTATATCCGCATTGTCTCTTAATTATTTGTCTGCTAATGCCCTCCTTTGTGGTTGAAACAAGTAGACTCTGGTAATATAGCAATGCAGGAAGGCCGTAAAATGAGAATATTGTTATCCTCCACAACCCTGGCATGGTCGATTGTTCGCTTTGAATATTTCTTGAGGACTTGTTACAGAGATAAGGAAGATGATGAAAGCCTAAAACAAGTATTTGGTGTCCAGATGAACTCTTTAAAGTTTCCTGTAAACTTCTTACTTCTATATGGATTGCTATAATCTTTCACGGGCAAATTGAGACTTGCTTTGTGTGCAAAATGCATGTTGGATTTATCTGGTTCTTATAAATTCGTTCAAGTGTTTTTCTTTGTCAAATATTTGAGCATTGTTGTATTATTATCACTGTTCTTGTATTAGAAATACACCAAGTTCATGCTATAGCACTGGCTGGCTATAGAACAGTCTTAGTTCAAGGGAATCATGATAAATATGCCATGTTTCTTTTTTTCTTGTAGTACAATGGGTTGATGACACAGATCTTTAACAAGGCTATGCATCAGTTGGAATTCCGTCTGTAATCATCAATGGTTTGCAAGTTTGAATGAAAGTTCTTGACTTGCTTGATTTATAACTCGTAATTTGGAAACATTATATTATCTTATTTCTGTCTTGCTTTGGTTCTTATCACACTCATGAATTCTGCCATCCATTGGAGGTTACAATATGGTATATCCTCCAAGACTTTACTATTTAAGAGCTATCTTTAAGTTACATGGTATTGTTTTGCATTCATTTGGAAGCATCAAAATCATGAAATATGGGTTTATCTCAACTCATATATAGGATTTAATAATAAAAAAAGAGGAGTTTACAATATGATCTCTCAGGACTAAATATGATGTGGGGAAGATTGTAACACTCTTGATTGCAACAATCTTAACTGGTTTAAGACAAATTGATTGATAAGATATGAATATACTACTACTAATTTAAATTTAAATATTTGAAAATTAATATTAATAATTTAGACATGACAAAGAAGTAAACTTACATGGGATAGACATATATAGTGACTCATTCTCATTTGTGTATATTTCCTTTTTAACCAATAAAAATTCCTTTTTCAAATAATAAATTTATGATTCCACACAACTGATCCATTCAACTGTTGATCGGATTAATATCCGGTATAATGTTATGGAAACTATACTTTCAACTAGGCTTAGTAGCATCCACTGGATGGACTTACGATTCGGCCCTCTTCCTCTTGCAACCTTTCCTTGGTCAAAAGGTGGACCGCCTCCTCTGCGCCACATTCGTCCATAAGGCGAAAGATAGCACACACAAACGTTGAACTCACCCCTCGATAGTTTACCTGGACCCAAATCAAGCAAGTGGGTCGAACTGGCCCAGCCGCTAACTGCTCCGTCCCGTCACAATCGACCCAATTCCGAGGGTGGTAAACCACCGGGTAAGTTATGGTCAGGGCGTGGCCAGTAAAGCTCAAATATAAAGCCCCTATCATCCCCGTCCCCTTCATTATCGCAAAAGAAATAGTAATAGCGAGCGAAAGAGGGAAAGGAATGACCGACACGCGGTTTCCTTCCACCCCTCCCTCTCTCTCTCTAGGGTTTCTTGATAAGCATCCAACGAATCGCATCGCGAGGTCCCGTAATCCGCAGTAGCGGGTTTCGATCGCTGTCACGGTCTCCAATATCGAGGTATTGGTCCGATCGCTTGTCTGTTTCTGATTCTATTCTTTTCTGGAGCCTCGTTCGTCTCGATTCCGCTTTTGATTTTACTCTACCGGGGCTAGATTCATTGCCTCGTGCTCGATCGATCTCTTGTTTGGCGTCATTTGTTTCCCTTGTTCCCTGGTTTCAGTTTAGGTATAATAACCATGGGGATTTGTCGGTATAATCTGTGGCGTCTCGTTGATTTGGATGGACCATCTGCATCGGTCGTAGTCGAATTTGGCGTATTCGGTTTTGGATAGAAGTTTCAGATATAACCGTTCTTGGGGATTCTTTTATCTGAGACTTTCATTAGGTTGTTACAAGTTTTCTGGCTTTTCTTGATTGATTCGTCGTCTTGGCTGTGTGTCTAATTAAATGAGGTACTGGTATAGGGTTCAACAATGGAAGATACCGCAAACATGGAGAGCCATTTATCATCAGCTGCGGCTTTCGTGGAAGGAGGTATTCAGGATGCTTGTGATGATGCATGCAGCATCTGTCTTGAAGTCTTCTGTGAAAGTGATCCTTCAACGGTATGTCGTCTTATGGATACATGTACTTATATGATTAGTGCTACTAACTTTTTTGCTCCCTTTGTTGCAAAGTAGACGTCTTCTTATATCCGATGTTGTTCTTCAGGTTACTAGTTGCAAGCATGAGTTTCATCTACAATGTATTCTTGAATGGTACTGTCTTTCTTGCCTCTCTGTTATTTCTGTACTACCTGAGTCTGAAGATGTTAACCGTGTACTTCTAAGCGCATGGATAGTACTAGCATAAAGTTCTTAGTCAAATGAAACAACTTTTATACAATTCTTAAAAAGGGTAAACCCAGAGTATGAGGCTACCATTTATGCTGTCTCTGGAGTGACGATCAATTTATGTTATCTTGTCTAGCTAGGCTATTTTAGCGACTCAAATAGCCTAGGTTGTAAAGGAGCAACGTTACCATTGTACTAAGGTTCACCTACAACCTTCCTATATTACTCTATTACATTATTCAAGGGAACTATTTCCCATCTTTGGGTTGTTGCTGTGATTGGTCAAACTTGTCTAGGGTGCATATTTCTGATAGTATTTAAATCAGTTTGGTTATTATTTTTTGCCTTTCTTAATTGGATATTGGTTCATGTTAGGTATCATTAATGCCGGAAGCTTGTTTATCTTTTCAGTATTCTATATTATTTATTTCCCCCCTTGAAATATATTCATTGTTTCAGGCACTTTCACTATAACTTCAAGTTACCATAATTTTTTTTCATTATTAGGTGCCAGAGGAGCTCTCAGTGTCCTATGTGCTGGCAGTCCATCAGTTTGAAGGATCCTACCAGGTTCATATGAATTAAAGTAAAATTGCAGTTTGTGCTTGGACTATTGTTACAGCTAGAAGCTTATGATTTTTTCTGCTGTTGGTTGTCTCAGCCAAGAATTATTGGATGGTGTAGAGCGCGAAAGGAACGTCAGACTTAACAATACACGGACTACCACAATTTTTCATCATCCTGCTCTTGGTGATTTCGAATTGCAGCATGTGGGTAGTTCTGTTATTTGGTTTTGATCTTTCTCGTCGTTTGTTGGGTTTACGAAGGGAAAAAGTTCCATGAAAATAATGGTCATATCTTTCAACTATTGATCGTAGTTGCCAGTTGGTGGAAGTGATGCTGAACTCGAAGAGCGTATTATTCAGCACTTAGCTGCTGCTGCTGCCATGGGAAGAGCACACCATCTTGCTAGAAGAGAAGCACAGGGTAGATCAGGATCTCATGGCCACCCACAATATTTGGTTTTCTCTACAAATTCAAACACACCTTCTGTGGGATCCCTGTCTGCCTCCTCTGTCACAAGAGTAGAAAATGAGTCAGCTCCTGAAACAGTTGCTGCTAACCCATTGGCCTCTGTAACTACTCCAGTAGGAGAATCTGCTGAAGTAACAAGTGTTACCCCAACTCATGCTAGCCAGATTTCTTTGTTGACATCTGGGACCAGCAGTGATCGATTCAGGTACAGCATTTCAAGTCCCAGGTGCTCTTTAGGATATACTTATTACATGCTTATATACATATGTATTATTTCTCAATCACTCTGTTATAAAGTTGCTCTGATGACTTTTATTCAGGGCACCAGCCGGCCAATCCTCTCCGGTTAGCCATGAACCAGGACCATCAGACCTACAATCCTTCTCAGAATCTCTGAAATCTCGCTTGAATTCTGTCTCAATGAGGTATTTTGATGTTTATGTGCTGTTTTCAGTATCATTGTAGATGCTGATTGTGTCCTTTACATCTTGCAATTAGGTACAAGGAGTCCATCGTTAAGAGCACTCGAGGGTGGAGGGAACGGCTGTTTTCACGAAATAGTTCTGTGGCAGATATTGGTTCTGAAGTTAGGAGAGAAGTTAATGCTGGTATTGCCACTGTGTCACGGATGATGGAGCGCTTGGACGCTAGAGATAGTAGAAGAACATCCAGTTCTTCTGCCTCGCCTAGTGCCGGAGTGCACTCAGTTATGGAACCGAGAAATGAGGGTGTTATTTCCAATCATGCCAGTACTCATCCAAACAATAGTACTACATCATCTTCTTGCATTGCAACTTCAGGTCTCGATTAAGTTACTCTACAAGTTCTAAAGGTTGAACATGCAGCAGTGTTCAACATTGAAGGTATTTTAATTTCTGCTACCCTGTTGCATTGATTATTTTTATTGTAAAAATCAGATAAATAACTTTATACTTCGTAGTTCCAATATTATGTTCCCTAATTTATTCAGATCAACAAAACTTAGCCCCTAAAGTTGCTAATGGCCTGAGTTGACTCTATATCAGGCTTAATTGTGGTCTTGCTTGCTTGAAGGTGGCCAGGCCTGATTTGACTGAGGTGACGAACATCCTTTACTCAGCTACTTTGGTTTGGTGACTCCCAAATTGGTGGATGATGTTCGATCTGTCTCATGTAATAGAGGTTAGCTGGTGCTTCGTGTGCTAATATAGCAAAAATGGAGAGATCAAGGACACGAGGTTGGGTGATAGGGATTGCTAAAGTTAGCAGATCTGACTGAGATGGAGTATTGGAGGTCAATGAAGGTGGATGGCTGGCCTTATCAAGGGCAGTAGTGGCTGTCAAGACCGTTGAGTGGAGAGGGAGAAGGTAGGGTGATAGATAATTAGATGACTAATTAATTAAAATTCAAGCAGATGAGGATGTTTTGCATGTTTGTCAAACCCAAAATCAATATTGGAAGAAAGCACTCACTAAAATCTGATCTGAAAAATTACATTATGAATCCATACCATTTTTCGTGATCTAAATCATGTTAGTTGCATGTGGACCAAATTCGCATGTCAACAAGTCTTCACATAAACAGCTATTTTGCATGAACGGTCTATCTGTGTGAATTTGATGCTGCCATCCAAAAGCTAGTAATTTTTTATGTGGAACAAATGTAGATTATTGTAATGTTTTCTATTTCCAGTTTAATGTTTTTTGTTATTTTCTATTCCATGCATAACTTGGTTTTTAGAAAATGATATCTTTTTGTTTCAGAATGTTGAAAATTATTTCTAATGAAGATGAGCACTGTTTTAGAGTTCATGTGCGTGATTTTGAATCAGCAGCATTGATGTCTCAATCTTGTTGACAGGATCTTAGCCACAATCTCCTCTGTCTCTCTCTCACAGACACACATAGTCATGCTCATTCAGAGCAAAAGAGAAACAGAAAAGGATATTATTTCTTTCACTTGAGGAATAGAAGATTTATTCTTTTTTTTTTAATTTTCTCTTCTTTGCAGATCATCCTTTAAAGATGGATAAAATTGTGAAAATGAGGAAAAATTTAGAAGATATATAAAATCTAAGAATAGAAGATAATTTTTATATAATATAAGGTTTATGATAATTTTTATGGTAAGTTGTGTACTAAGGGTAATAAAAGACAATTTACTTTGAATTGCTAAAGTTAGAGAAAGAAAGAAAAAGATTTGGATAGTACTTTCTATTGAAAGAGTTTAAGAAAATGTGGAAAATATTTATAAAAAATATGAAAATATGTAGGAGTTTGAGATATGATGGCATTCATATTTTGGTATGAAAAAGTTAAGGTGATCAAGGAATAAATAGTTTGATTAGTTTATTTACAAAATCTTGAGAATTAGAAGATGTCCGATGAATGAAGAGTTTTTTAGTATCAATTTATAAGAATAAATGGGATATCCAAAATTGTAGTAATTATAAAGGAATTAATATTGTAGCTACACTATGAATAGTACAAATATACTTTAAAAGGAACTCATGAAATAGTAATTGAAAGTCAAATAAGTTGTGAAACAAAAACTTCCTAAAATCAATTTGGTCTATCAACTGTTCAAGATAATAGAAAATCAAAGGGAAAAGAAGAAAGATTTCATATGTTTTTTATTTGATTTAGATAAAGTATATGATAAAATTCCTAGAGATATATTATGGTGGGTTTTAGAGAAGAAAGACGGATCCACTACTTATATTGATGTTATGTGAGATATCTATGGTAGTATTTTCACTAGTGTTTAGGGGTTACCTTTTATCTTTTTTATGCTTCTTTGTTTTATGTAGATGAATTCATGTACAAAATCTATTCTTCTCCATTTGTTGGAACACTGTTTTGTAGTTTTGGAAGTTAAGGATTTTCACAATGCCATGCATTTTGTTATGCTTCTGAAAAGGAAAAGAAAAGGATGAATCGCGGGCCAGTTGAGTGAGTATATGCCTGAGCTCTGGAACTTGATAGATATCCTAGTGAAATACCACCCAAACTGTATATCAAAATTTTGTGGGCTTTGATTTTTATTCAGACAAACAGAGGTTCAGTTTTTTTTATGAAGTCTCTGCTCCTACATTACATGCTCTGACTATCTAATTTTTGTCTTGTTTCTTGAATTGATAATACTACTTGTCAAGTTTATACCCCTTCAAAATTTTCCACAGATTGCTACACTTGTGAACTATTCTCCCTTGTTTATCCGTGAATATTGTTCTTATGTCATCAGTCGGTCGAGTCATCGGTACATGTTTGTGCAGAAATTTCTAACTTTGTTTTCTTTCGTATCGTCGGGCAGTGAAAATTACGTGCCGCCAAGATTGTGAGGTGGAAGTTACAGTTGCTACGCGTGCTGCCTTAGTATTTGTAACAAAGGAGGAAAATGCTTCAAGGGAACTACTTTGTTTTTTTTTTTTTGGTTTAGATTTAATATGTTTGCTTTCAGGCGTTGATAGAGAAACTTGTTGGCAGTAATAACGGTTACAATCCACTGGAACAAAGGTTATGATATGCTTTATGTTGTTTATATGAAATGGCCTCGTTGCTTAATCGAATCATGCTGCATATCCATCCCCAAGCCTCTTGGATCATTTGCACCCATTTGTCTTCTAATATTATTGTTTTGGATCATATGCATGTTTGATGGATTCATTGTGATCATAGATTGTCATCGTAACTCGATCAATCCTAACTCCATTAATCTATCTACGATGGACAATCTAAATCGGTGCTTACATGATACTAGATCGAGCACATTATTTTTCGAGTTAAAGCATTTCGAATGGTAAGGCTTGTCAAACTAGTTTATCCATCAGCCGATTCGTGAGATGATTGTGATATCGACAGGGACCCATGCCTAGATTTGAGTTGAAGCCATTAAATACTATACTGTTGTTGTTCATGTGGTCGTCACAATGGTAAAATTTACATCACACGGCATCGGCTGTTTCCCGCTGCGCCGATCCATCACAAGCAAAGCAAGCCTTGCGTGGTGTAATCTTCGATGGATAATAAAAGCTGATACTTTGTCAAATGAACAAGACAACTGACTTTGCGGTTTTGTCCCCACTTTCCATGTGATTTTGGATAGCGAAACTTCTCCCATAATTAGCCGGACGTACCCCAGCAATGATCGAGCCTCCGAAGTGACATTGGGTTGAATGTGGCTCGCAGGGCACATCAGGATCACATACAGCGAACTCATACAGTACGGGTAGCTGTAGATGTCAATGATGTATATTTTTCAGATAGTTGATGAAAAATAATTCTTATTTTGATATTTTTGTTTTTTTTTAATTTTTTTCTTTACCACTATCCTCATATTTCCTGATAGGGGTAAAAATGGCGATGTGTACGCCATGACAGCAACCCCCTGAGCGACACACTGCCCGAGGCTCGCCATACCCTGCGTGCAGCTCGACCTCCCACGCAACCCCAGTGGCAATGTCAGACGCCACCGAAGGTACAGTCCTGCCCTGCAAACAACCACGTCAGGTAACATCAAACTTCATCTATAAATACCCCCAAACTCTAAAGAGAAAGGGGGGAGGGGACACACTCAACACACGGAGGTTTCTCCTGCGCCTAAACCCCCTCCACATCTTTCGCTAATTTGATCGTCGGAGGGGTTGGGTCGAGCACCCCGACCCGACCTTTGTGCAGGTGCGAAGCCTTCGGAGATCCCCGCCTTCGGAGATTCAGCTTGCTCGAGGAGCCCCCCCACGGAGATCTCCGTCTTCCGGACCCAAACCAAGCCGCGACGGCCCCGAGGCCACGGCTAAAAAGTTACTTACCGTAACAGAATGGCGCTAGAAGGAGGGCTCGGAATGACGGTACATTAGCTTTCTCCTTGGTTGCTCCACTACAGCCGACCTGCACCAG